TGATCCCAGCACTTTGGGAGGCTGAGGTGGGAGGATTGCTGGAGGCCAGGAGTTCGAGACCACCCTGGCCAATATAACAAGACCCTGTCTCTATTTAAAATACACACACACATACACACACAGAGACAGAGAGAGAGAGAGAGAGAGAGAGAGAGAGAGAAATGCCTATTTAGTACAGTCTTGACTTCCTATTTTACTTTTGGTTTAGGAAAGAATAACATGAAAAGTATAGCATGCTCCAAGTATACAGTTGCTCGGTCCTCTTTAGATCTCTGGTGGGCCTTTGCACTGAAATCTAACTCTGTCTTTGTTTTGATTTAATTCACTTCCTTTTCAAATCTATGTCCTAGTCCTGCTTGGTTTTGTGTGTGTGTGTGTGTGTGCTAGAAGGCAGGGCCTGTGAGAGGAGACCCTCAGTTACATTAGGGTTAACCAAGCACAGGAAGTTTACGCACAGAGCAAAGCCATTTGCTAGAATTGGTTTTGATCCTTCCGTTTCGAAAATAAAGTTGCTGTTTGTGTTGGAGATGCTGTCATCAGAATTCCGCGGCACAAAGAGAAAGATATAAAAATATCTCTCTGACGTGAACTTTCCCTTTTCTATCCCCTTGCTAGGAATGCCAGAAGAGAATCCCACGCTGACTGGAACCATTAGGTCTTTTGTTTGAATCCCAGTGATCAAGAAAGAAACGTGGTTAATAGTCAGTAGTAGAGAAAAAAGGAACCCAAGGAGATAGAGAGCTGTTAATTTCACTCTGGACATTTCTTCGAGGCAGTTTACTGGGAAAAACCTCAATGCTCCCTGGTAGCTGCAGGATCTACTTTGGGGGCTGCCAAGTTTCCTCTCTCATTCTTTCTCCTGCCCCAAGAGCAGGCAGGAAGGAAAGTTCCTGGACTAATACTCGTCTGTTTAGTAGGCATGGGTCTTGGTTGAAGTCTCTCTAGGAAAACTCACAGGTGTAGAAATCTTCTCCGTATTACCACTGTCTCTGCACTGAGATCTGCTGCTTTGCTTCCAACGTTTCACACATCATAATTGAGGTGAGTTGTTTTTGTTTTTTCCAGTCTTCATACTTCTTAGAAAATCTTGCTTCTTTTTTGATATGTGCTTTAACAAATGTGTCACTTAAATCAGTACTTCTCATACATGAACGTGCATATGTATCACCTGGAGATCTTGCTGAAACGCAGGCTCTGTAGAACTCAGGGGGCCTGGGGTGGGCCTCTGATTCTGCACATCTCAGCTGACCTCTATGGACCACACTTTGAGTAAAAAGGGCTGAAACTCTGTAGGTGTTTTGCTTTTTTGGAAGGGGTTGGTCATTGTAGGCAGGATAAGGGTATTTGGCTGAGCACATGATTTATGTTGAGCACCTGAGAAGACAATCAGACAACATCCCTTTCCTGGTTGTACCTACTTTGATGGCTATCTCTGTGCTTTGGGGTTTCCGTTAAGCAGATCCTAGGTGTGGTAAGCCAGATTACCCTAAGTGAGAAAGGATGTTGGGCTTCTCCTTAGATTATATAGGCCACTTGGAGCAGAGCCAGAAATCCTTTTGTAATTTTTGTGTTAACTGACTATATCATGCCTCATCTGGTGTGGCTTGTGGTCACTCTGAACATTTCAGCTTCAATTAAAAATATGGCCGGGTGTGGTGACAGTGCGAGACTCCATCTCAAAATATATATATATATAGCCAGGTGTGGTATAATCATGCCTGTAATCCCAGCATTTTGGGAGACCGAGGCAGGTGGATCATCTGAGGTCAGGAGCTTGAGACAAGCCTGGCCAACATGGTGAAACCTTGGCTCTACTAAAAATACAACAATTAGCTAGGAGTGGTGGCACACATCTGTAATCCCAGCTACTTGGAAGGCTGAGGCAGGAGAATCACTTGAACCCAGGAGGCAGAGTTTGCAGTGAGCCAAGATCGCACCATTGTACTCCAGCCTGGGTGACAAGAGTGAAACTCCGTCTCAAATAATAATAATAATAATAATAATAATAATAATAATAATGCGTGCTAGAAAAAATAGCTGATTTATTTCTCCTAGCATTCGGAATTGAAGATTATAAGGCATATGAATCTATTACATTGTTGAAAATCAGTTTGCATAGTGAATAGGAATGTATTTTATCCTCCTGTAACAGGCCTGGTAGTGTTCTTTAAATTCAGTATGTTCCCTGCCCTAAACAATATACAGTTATCTGAAAGTTGCCTTTAACCCAAAAGAAACAAGCCAAGAGGAAAAAAGAGAATGGAGAGGAAATATATCTATTGTGTACCCAGTTGAGGGGAGAAAAAAAGCAATGAAAAAAAGTGGGGAGAAAAGGAGAAAGGTGGCCAGGAGTTGACAGGAGACACAGCTTCACAAAATGAATAAAAGAAAACCTAGCCTGGAAATAACATCTTTCCCACACATTCATGGGAGTTCTCCTAGAGTAGTAGCTTGTATCTTTTTTAGTTGGAAAAGTGTGATGGAGACAGAGTAGGTAAGTTGTAAATTTTGTTGTTCTATTTTTGTATAGAAACGGGGTCTCACTATGTTGCCCAGGCTGGTCTCAAATTCCTGGGCTCATGCAATCCTCCTATCCCAGCCTCCTGAAGTGCTGGGATTACAGGTGTGAGTCACCATGTCCAGCCAATTTTGTTGTTCTAGTGAACATGCTGAAGCCGTTTGTCATAAATCAAGGAAGGGCTATACAAGCCATAGTCAGAGGGGTGTGCAGGCCTGGTGAGGCCTGGTATGAATCCATGGAACTGTGTCCAGAGCTGGTTTCTTCCAGTGGGTTCTTGGTCTTGCTGACTTCAAGAATGAAGGCATGGACCTTCATGGTGAATGTTATGGCTCATAAAGGTAGTGCGGACCCAAAGAGCCAGCAGCAGCAAGATTTATTACGAAGAGTGAAAGAACAAAGCTTCCACAGTATGGAAGGGGATGACCTGTTGCTGCTGGCGCTGGGGGCCAGCTTTTATTCCCTTATTTGGCCCCACCCATGTCTTGCTGATTGGTCCATTTTACAGAGTGCTGATTGGTCCATTTTTACAGAATGCTGATTGGTGCATTTGCAATCCTTTAGCTAGAGGCAGAGTGCTGATTGATGCGTTTGCAATCCTCTAGCCAGACAGAAAAGTTCTCCAAGTCCCCACTGGACCTAGGAAGTCCAGCTGGTTTCACCTCTCAGAACCACTGCCAGACAGACAGGAATCTCTTCTGTTTGAACTAAGTTTCAAATAACATTCCCTTCTATTATGGTCTATAATCAGAGGTGTTATGAAAAACCGTAACCCTCGTAGCATAAGCACTGACTGATCAGAATACAAGCTAGCTGTAATCAGCCCATCCAGCAGCAGACGGTGGGTAGGCAGTAAGCATGTGTGGGGCTGAGTATCAGCCTAAGCTATCCCAGGTCTGAACTAGACTTTTTTGGGGTAGAAATTGTAAGGCTGCAGATGACTTTAGAGTCGTAGAGTCTGGTTGCCACCATCATCTGCCAACTGTCTGGACCCGTTTTCTCGGATGAGGCCATTTCCCTCTCTTTTCAAGCCTGGAGTAATCCCTCAGTCCAGCTGTCTACTCTTGCAGCTGATACTGTAGAAAATAAGAGTTCCCCTAGGGAACTACAAGACTCAGAATCCCATCTGCTTCCTGAACAGGAGAAGGGCAAGTGCATATATCGTTTTGTGGAGTGTTACAGCAGAAAATGAAACCTGATTACCACGTTATCCAACTGTACAAAGCACTGTCCCATACATTATCCCCCTTGACTTTTCACAACTTTCCTGGAGTATATGGGTCAAGGAGATTGTTATTTCAACCTCTGGATGGAGAAACAAAGGTCCCAGTGAAGCAATTTGCCAAAGGCACACAGCTGGTCTGTGGGTGTGCTGGGATTCAAACTCAACGCTGGTTTGCTCTGAGTTCAGGTGCATCCTGTGCTTTTCTGGCCTCGGCATCTTCTCAAGACCTCTGATGACCTCTTGTTCTGTACAAGGGTGTGTTACCTTTTATGTCATAATTTGAAATCTTTGCATTAAAAATAATCCTATTTCTACTTTTTTGGTCAAAATTACTCATGTGTTTGTCTTAAGCTTTGTCTCCATTAAGGTCTTTACTCCCCAGGAAAAAAAAATGCTTGAGACTAATGCTTCTCACACTTTCTCAGGCTGAGATGTCACCTGGGGAGCTTTTGCTACAACTCAAATCCCTGGGCTCCAACCCCAGAGATTCTGCTTCCTAGGGCAGGCCCCAGGCATGGGAACTGGCATTCTAATAAGCTCCCAGGTGATTTTAGTGCCACCACTCAGAGATCACACCTTCAAACAAAAGTCACAGCTTCAGTTAATATTTTAAAAGAGTACATTTATGGTTTAGTGAGGGGGGCTTAGTGTACTTTTGTATACGTATATTATTTATTTATCTAATTTTTTTTGAGACAGAGTTTTGCTCTTGTTGGCCAGCTGGAGTACAATGGCATGATCTCAGCTCACTGCAGCTTCTGTCTCCTGAGTTTAGGCACTTCTCCTGCCTTAGCCTCCCAAGTGGCTGGAATTACAGGCGCCTGCCACCAGGCCTAGCTTATTTTTGTATTTTTAGTAGAGACAGGGTTTCACCATGTTGGCCAAGCTGGTCTCGAACAACTGACCTCAGGTGATCCACCCGCCTCAGCCTCCTAAAGTGCTGGGATTACAGGAGTGACATTTATGTTTATTTTAAAATGTTTTTTTAGACAGGGTATTGCTCTGTCACCCAGGCTGGAGTACAGTTGCATGAACATGGCTCACTACAGCCTCTGCCTCAAGGCTTCCACATCAATCTCCTGAGTAACTGGGACCATAGGCACGCGCCACTACACACAGTGAATTTTTAAATTTTTTTGTGGAGGCTGGGTCTTGCTATGTTGCCCAAGATGGTCTGAAACTCCTGGGCTCAAATGATTCTCCCGCCTCAGTCTCCCAAAGTGCTGGGATTACAGGCTTGAGCCATGGCTTGTCTTTTTAAATATAAGGTGCTTCATGAATTTGCCTGTTATCCTTGCACAGGGGCCAAGCTAATCATCTTTGTATCATTCCAATTTTAGTATATATGCTGCTAAAAGGAGCATGTTAGTGTGCCTAATAATAGATTATCATGCCAGAATTCCTGGGTTTCAATATTAACGCTATCACATGTGCAAGCTATGAGATCCTGGGAAAGGATTCTTATGCCTCAGTTGCCTAATCTATAAAATGGGAATACTAATACTACCTACCTCATAGGGTAGTTGTGAGGACTAAATGAGTTAGCAGTGCAGGACACAGAGTATCTCTGTGAGTTTGCTATGATTATCACTAAGTCTTGCTCAATAATTATACTTTACAATAGAAACACCAACAACAGGCTGGGTGTGGTGGCTCACGCCTGTAATCCCAGCACTTTGGGAGGCCGAGATGGGCGGATCACGAGGTCAGGAGATCGAGACCATGCTGGCTAACATGGTGAAACCCCGTCTCTACTAAAAATACAAAAAAATTAGCCGGGCGTGGTGGTGGGTGCCTGTAGTCCCAGCTACTCGGGAGGCTGAGGCAGGAGAATGGGGTGAATCTGGGAGGCGGAGCTTGCAGTGAGCCAAGATCGCACCACTGCACTCCAGCCTGGGCAACAGAGCGAGACTCAATCTCAGAAAAAAAAAAAAAAAAAGAAACACCAACAACAAGATTCACACAGATATCAAACATTCTTCTTGGATGTAGGTGTTGCCCCAGGTTTAATCACGGTCAAACATGTTCTTATGTGTGTAAATGTGAAGGATTAGTTGTCCTGGGCTGTCAGCTAGCCTGGTTATGTAGGACTTTCCACATCATTCTGACAGATTGGACTTGACCCTGACAGTGATGAAAAGTCATCAACGCAGCTTCAAGCTGGGAAGTGCAATCAGAATTGCATTTTGGAAATGTCTCTTGCTGTAGCATAGATGCTGTAGCATAGGTAGGAAGAAGGTGAGGCTGGAGGCAGAAACCTGTTTGAATAGACTGTTTCAATAGTCCCAGAGGGAAATAATAAGACTTAAACTAAGCAATATGGTTTGGCTGTGTCCCACCCAAATCTCATCTTGAATTGTAGCTCCCATAATCCCATGTGTGGTGGGAGGGACCTTGTGGGAGATAATTGAGTCATGGGGCCAGTTCCCCCATACTGTTCTCCTGGTAGTGAATAAGTCTCACAATGGTTTTACAAGGGGAACTTCAACACTATTTTATGTTATTTTTCTTATTAATATAAGAAGATAGGAATGTCAGGCCTCTGAGCCCAAGCTAAGCGATCATATCCCCTGTGACCTGCACGTATACATCCAGATGGCCTGAAGTAACTGAAGGATCACAAAAGAAGTGAAAATGGCCTGTTCCTGCCTTAACTGATGACATTACCTCGTGAAATTCCTTCTCCTGGCTCAGAAGCTCCCCCACTGAGCACCTTGTGACCCCCTGCCCCTGCCTGCCAGAGAACAACCCCCTTTGACTAATTTTCCATTGCCTACCCAAATCCTATACAACAGCCCCACGCCATCTCCCTTCACTGACTCTCTTTTCAGACTCAGCCCGCCTGCACCCAGGTGAAATAAACAGCCTTGTTGCTCACACACAAAAAAAGGGATGAAACCCCTTTCACTTGGCTCTCATTTTCTCTCTTCCCTGTCACCATGTAAGATGTGCCTTTTGCTTTTCACTATGATTGTGAAAGGTATGTGTATTCCCCAGCCATGTGGAACTGTGAGTTCATTAAACCTCTTTTTCTTGACAAATTACCCATTCTCGGGTATGCCTTTATCAGCAGTGTGAGAATGGACTAATACACTAAGGCAGTAGGGTAAAGCACTGAGCAGAGATCCCATCAGGAGCCTGTCATGACTCATAGGATACCATATTAAAATGCTTAGCTTATGCTTCCTGTCTACATTGAAGCCCTGTGAGAACTAAGATAGAGTCTACCTCCTATGGAGCCCCAGCCCCAGCTCATAGTAGGTCCTTGATAGTTATTTGGGGAATATATGGGTAAAGAATAGATGAAATCCTGCTGTGGTCTCCAAGGCTCTGTTATCTGGCCCCTGCCCCTTTCTCCAACCTCATCATGTTTCACTCTCCTCATTGTTCTTATCACATTGCCTTCCTCCAGGCCTTTGGAAATGCCAAACTGTGACTTCTATCTAGTGTAGGGGTTGGCAAACTACTGCCTTTGTGACAAATCCTTCCTGCTAACTTTTTTTTTTTTTTTTTGAGACGGAGTCTCTCTCTGTCGCCCAGGCTGGAGTGCTGTGGCGCAATCTCGGCTCACTGCAAGCTCCGCCCCCCGGATTCACACCGTTCTCTTGCCTCAGCCTCCCGAGTAGCTGGGACTACAGGCGCCCGCCACTGCGCCCGGCTAATTTTTTCTATTTTTAGTAGAGACGGGGTTTCACCATGGTCTCGATCTCCTGACCTTGTGATCCGCCCGCCTCGGCCTCCCAAAGTGCTGGGATTACAGGCGTGAGCCACCGCGCCCGGCCCCTGCTAACTTTTTATGAATAAGTTTTATTGGAACACAGCCATACCTACTTGTTTATGCATTGTCAACAACTGCTTTAGTGCTGCAACAGCAGAATAGAGGAGTTGTGACACAGCCCATACAATACAGCCTGTGAAGCCCAAAATATTCACTATCTGGCCCTTTACAAAAAAAAAAAAGTTTGCCAATCCCTGCTGTAGTCCTTTGAATTTGCTGTGACCTCTGATTTAAAACTCTACCCTCAATAAAGTACCCTCAACACAGTAATCAAAACAGTGTGGTCCTAACATAAAGACAGACATCCAGATCAGTGGAATAGAATAGAAAGCCCTGAAATAAACCCTCACACAGCCGGCTGTGGTGGCTCACGCCTGTAATCCCAGCACTTTGGGAGGCTGAGGTGGGCAGATCATGAGGTCAGGAGTTTGAGACCATCCTGGCTAACACGGTGAAACCCTGTCTCTACTAAAAATACAAAAAATTAGCTGGGTGTGGTGGTAGGCGCCTGTAGTCCTAGCTACTCGGGAGGCTGAGACAGGAGAATGGCGTGAACTCAGGAGATGGAACTTGCAGTGAGCCAAGATTGCACCACTGCACTCCAGCCTGGGTGACAGAGCGAGACTCCATCTCAAAAAAAATAAAATAAAAATAACCCTCGCTCATATGGCCAAATGGTTTTTGACGAAGGTGCCAAGACCATTCAATGGGGAAAGAACAGTCTTTTCAATAAATGGTGCTGGGGAAACTGGATAGCAACATGCAAAATAATAACATTGGACCCTTACCTTACACCCTATACAAAAATTATCAAAGACACAAAGAGCTAAAACTGTAAAACTCTTAGAAGATAACATAGGGGAATGCTTCATGACATTGGCTGTGGCAGTGATTTACTGGGTATAATACCAAAAGCACAGGCAACAAAATAAAAACTACATAAACTGGATTTCATCAAAATTTAAAAAAAATAAAAAACTTTTATGCATCAAAGAAGGACACTTTTGGCCCAGTGTGGTGGTGCACACCTACAGTCCCAGCTATTCTAGAGGCTGAAGCAGGAGGATCGCTTGAGCCCGGGAAGTCGAGGTTGCAGTGAGTCATGATCATGCCACTGCATTCCAGCCTGGGCAACAGAGAGACACCCTGTTTCAAAAAAACAAACAAAAAAGGAGGACACTTTTTACTTTTCTTTTATCTTTTGCTTTTTTGTTTTTGTTTTTGTTTTTTTTGAGACAGACAGGGTCTTACTCCCATTGCCCAGGCTGGAGTGCAGTGGCACCATCTCGGCTCATTGCAGCCTCAACTTCCCCAGCTCAGGCGACCCTCCCACCTCAGCCTCCCTAGTAGCTGGGACTACAGGAACCTGCCACTATACCCAGATAATTTTTTGTATTTTTTAGTAGAGAAGGGGTTTTGCTATGTTGCCCAGGCTGGGCTCAAGTGATCCGCCTGCCTTGGTCTCCCAAAGTGCTAGGATTACAGGCGTGAGCCACTGTGCCCAGTCTGGACACTTTCAAGACAGTTAAAAGACAACCCACATAATGGGAGAAAATTATATATTTGATAATTGGTTCATATCCAGAATATATAAAGAACTCCTACAGCTTAACAAACAAAAAAAAAATGATTAAAAAGTAGGCAAATACCTTGAATAGACATTTCTTCAAAGAAAATTTATAAATGTCTAATAAGCACATGAAAAGATGCTCACCATCACTAGTCATTAGGGAAATGCAAGTCAACACCATGATGAGATACCACTTCACCCCCGATAAGGATGGCCATTATTTGAAAAAAAATAATGGTGGTTCTGACCTCCTCATGTGAACATACCTCTTGCAAAAAATCTCCTTCATCCCTCTCCAGATGAGGAAAAGAGGAAATACAAGAAGACATGCCGGGTATAGAGCCCCAGTTCCTACTTCAGGGATGCAAAATGCCCAGGATGCTATAATCACCATGCTTATTAGCCATGCACACACAGTAATGGTGTGTGTTGGTTGCTTGTATTAGTCCGTTCTCACACTGCTATGAAGAAATACCTGAGACTGGGTAATTTATAAAAGAAAGAGGTTTAATTGACTCACAGTTCCACAGGGCTAGGGAGGCCTCAGTAAACTTACAATCATGGCAGAAGGGGAAGCAAACACATCCTTCTTCACATGGCAGCAGCAAGAAGTGCTGAGTGAGGGGGCAGAAAGGCCCTAATACAACCATTAGATCTCGTGAGAACTCACTCACTATCATGAGAACAGCATGAAGGTAACTGCCCTCATGATTCAATTACCTCCTACTGGGTCCTTCCCATGACATGTGGGGATTATGGGAACTACAATTCAAGATGAAATTTGGGTGAGGACACAGCCAAACCATAAGATTCCTCCCCTGACCCCTCCCAAATCTCATGTCCTCACATTTCAAAACACAATCATGCCCTTCCAGCAGTCCCCCTCTTAACTCATTCCAGCATTAACCCAAAAATCCAAGTCCTAAGTCTTATCTGAGTAAAGGCAAATCCTTTCCACCTATGAGCCTGTAAAATCAAAAGCAAATTAGTTACTTCCTATATACAATGGGGGTAAC